CCGTCTCAAAAAAAAAAAAAAAAAATTCCACAATACAATTAGCATACCCTGAGAAATGAACAATCATTCCAGTGCTACGGTCTCCTGATTGTCTCATAGTTGTTTTTCCAATTTGTTGCTGAAATCAGGAGGATACGTTGCAATTTAGAAAACTGAAACTTTAAATAGAGTGGTCATCGACGGCCCACAGAATAAGGTGGCTTTTGAACAAAGACTTAAAGGAAGTGTGGGCATGAGCCATGAAGCTATCTGGGAAAAGAACAGTTAGGTAGAGGGAATAGTCAGTGCCAAAGTGCTGAGGTGGGAGGCTGTCTGGCATGTTTGAGGGACCATAGGAAGCCGCAGAAGACTTTTTTTTTTTTTAAAAGGAGATGGGGGTTTTGCCATGTTGGCCAGGCTGGTCTTGAACTCCTGACCTCAGGTGATCCACCCACCTCGGCCTCCCAAAGTACTGGGATTACAGGCATGAGCCACGGCACCTGGCCTACAAAATACTTTAATGATTATAATCAGAAATCGATCTTAAGTTAGGCCCAGACTGGGCCCACCTTCTGACCTGAATTCAAGACATCTGGGGCCTCAACACCTCCTTCCAGTAAGAGAAAAGATTCTGTTTCTATCTTTTCCCAGCCCCCAAAGAGGAGCCCCCCGATGTTCCTCTTGTGAAGCCGCGTCTAGGGGAGATGACTGTGACAGATGCCACCCCCGACTCCCTCAGCCTGTCCTGGACGGTCACCGAGGGCCAATTTGACCATTTCTTGGTCCAGTACAAGAATGGGGATGGGCAGCCCAAGGCGGTGCGGGTGCCAGGACACGAAGACGAGGTCACCATCTCGGGCCTGGAGCCAGACCACAAGTACAAGATGAACCTGTACGGCTTCCACGGTGGCCAGCGCGTGGGCCCCGTCTCTGCTGTTGGTTTAACTGGTGAGTGTGCAATAGGGCACTGGGCCCTGCCCTGAACTAGACTCAGTTTCCCCTTTATTGTCAGTATCTGGTGGCTTTATTTTACTTTCTCTGAGACCAAGCCTCCCAAGCTCCTGGGAATAGTTCTTCTGGTGCCTTCGCTCCAAGCCCTTGGTATTGCCCAAGGTATTGTCTTCTACTCTTTACACATGAGCTTTTTGGGTCCTTGAAGAGGTGGGGGACCAGGGAAATAACACAGACTGAGGCACACCTGGGGTTGACCATAGCCTCAGCCCATTTGAGCTGTGTGACCTCAAGAGAATCGCACAACATGTCTGGGCACAGTGGCTCACGCCTGTAATCCCAGAACTTTGGGAAGCCGAAGGGGGCAGATTACCTGATGTCAGGAGTTCGAGACCAGCCTGGCCAACATGGTGAAACCCCGTCTCTACTAAAAATACAAAAATTAGCTGGATGTGGTATTGGGCACCTGTAGTCCCAGCTACTCAGGAGGCTGAGGCAGGAGAATTGCTCCAACCTGGGAGGTGGAGGTTGTAGTGAGCCAAGCTCGCGCCATTGCAATTCAGCCTGGGCGACAGAGCTAGACTCTGTATCAAAAACAAAAAACGAAAAAACAAAAAGAAAAACCAGACACACACCTTTCTGTACCTTCTTTTCCTCATATGTAAAGAAGGAATAACCATACCTGTTGTGAAGGGCGGGAGTGTGACTTGGCTATCACACACAATGAGAGATAACCGCAGTCTTTCCCTTCTGAAAATCCCTTAGGGCAAACTCTCATAATGATCACTGATTTCAGTGGGAAAAATTGTATGTGTTCCTTAAGCCCCCAAATTAATACCCATTTATTTTTAAAACAATACTGAGTTCTGTTAACATGGATACTATTACTTTAATTGTAAATAGCGGTCATGTGCACAACTTAACGGCATTTTTCCTTCATTAATTACCTGTAACTCGGCTCTTTGATGCTTTCGTTAAGCTCTTTTATAGCTGTTACCCCCTAAATGCTTAAGGCTCAATTCTCAAAAAGAACAGACAAATGAAATGTGGTGATTTTGTAATTCCACTATCAAGGCAGAATGAAACCCTATGAAGAGCAGAAAAGATTAAAGAAATCAATGATTTCACACAGGCCAAAAGAGCTGGCATCACTGGAGGTGTGCTCTCTGCCATAAGTTAGCAGAGCTACTGCAAGATCCAGAGACAACTCAGCTGTGAAGATGCCCTCATGTGGTCTCATCTCTCTACTCTCAGCTGTAAAATCTAAACTGGTTTCTAAAAATGCCCAGAATTAGGTGGAATTTCCAAGCCCAGGTGGATGAACCTCCTGATACAACTTGCCTGTTATGCTTGGTTGTGCTTGGTTGATATTCTTTTTCTTTTTTTTTTTGAGATGGAGTCTCACTCTGTCACCCAGGCACCCAAGTACCCAGGCACCCAGGCTGGAGTGCAATGGCACGATCTCAGCTCATTGCAACCTCTGCCCCCCCGGGGTTCAAGTGATTCTCCTGCCTCAGGCTCCCGAGTACCTGGGATTACAGGCATTCACCACCAGGCCTGGCCAATTTTTATATTTTTAGCAGAGACGGAGTTTCACCGTGTTGGCCAGGCTGATCTCAAACTCCTGACCTCAGGTGATCTGCCCGCCTCAGCCCCTCAAAGTGCTGGGATTACAGGCGTGAGCCACCACACCCAGCCCTAGTTGGTGTTCTTATAAAGCATCAATTCTGTCCTATAAAACAAATTTGCTTGGCACGCTGGAACCCTTGTTGCAGGCATGCACACTAAGCATCATGGGGATGCCACCCAAGCATCATGGGGATGCCACCCAAGCATCATGACTTGGCCACAAGTGTGTGCTCTGTTCTCTGTTAACTGAACATTCAAAGCAGAGAAATGATATCCTAAGCCTGTGGGACCCTAGTGTGTCTAAGAGAATCCCAGAATCCCCTAGCTAGAAGGAGGCCCACCAGGCATGTCCACCCATTCTCTCTACCTTCTGATGCAGCCCCAGGAAATGATGAAGAAATGGTCCCAGCCCCGACAGAACCTCCCACACCCGAGCCCCTCATCAAGCCTTACCTGGGGGAGCTGACTGTGACAGATGCCACCCCCGACTCCCTCAGCCTGTCCTGGATGGTCCCCGAGGGCCAGTTTGACCACTTCCTGGTCCAGTACAGGAACGGGGACGGGCAGCCCAAGGTGGTGCGGGTGCCGGGGCATGAGGACCGGGTCACCATCTCGGGCCTGGAGCCAGACCACAAGTACAAGATGAACCTGTACGGCTTCCACGATGGCCAGCGCATGGGCCCCGTGTCTGCCATCGGGGTGACAGGTGAGTGGACGGTGGGAGCCCCAGGGTGGGAGCCATGGGAGGGTCACCCTCCTGCTCTTTGGTGATGACTGGTGGGGAATGGTGGCCGGGGTCTGGTCAGAACTCAGATCTGCTTGTGGCTGGGGCTTCGGCTCCCATTGGGCCTTCCTGTAAGGTTGACCCCTGGCTCCTCCTGAGCAGGGAGGGGCCGTTGGGAGCTTTGCTGTGTTGGTGGCTGACCCAGGTCCCCCATAACTGACCCTGGAACTTGTCTCTTTTTTTTTTTTTTTTTTTTGAGACGGAGTTTCACTCATGTTA